CACCTGTTGATCTTGGTAAGAGCTCTCCCTATCTATGGCAATGCTCACCTCGAATGAGACATGAAAATCTACCAGAACTATTTACTCTCACCTTTTTTTTTATTTTCAGCTACTTCTAGAGCACTCAACCCATTATTACCTCTAGCATTATTGCCATAATCTTCCTTGTCATCATCATTATGGACCAGGGGGATGGCTAGAACTAAAGCAAATTTTTTTAGAACGGTCATTTTCTAGGGTGACAAATAAGTAGAAAATAGAGAAAATGGAGATTGATGGTCATATATAGGGGATTTAAGAATTCAAGCATATTGGGGTGTCCAGAGTATGATTTGGAACAGAAACTAGTGGCCAAAGGTCTAAAAAGACAAGGGCAGATGTGTATTCTGTGTCACCAGTGGCAGTAGGTCCTGAGACAACGTTCAGTGGATTTGGCTGCATGACACTTTCAGGTTGCAGTCTTTAGATCTGCCACACTTATGACTACTGGCAGGTGGACAGGGAAAGCATCAGAACTTACAAAGGGTCATGCAAATGGCCATCAGATAAATATCTGGTACAAGGGACAAGCTGGACTTGTTTTCAGTTTAGCAGTCATAGTATATAATGAGTTGATTTATAGACTGTCAGTTCAGGCAGTATAACCTGTACTGACATATTTTAAACATATGTATAGACAGGTGAAAAAAGTGCAAAAGCAAAAACAGGACAGACCAGGCCACAAGATCCAAAGATCTAAGACAAACTAATCCTTGCAGTGGGGCTACACCTGCAATGCAAGGGTTAAGTGCTCATTTTGGTCTAGATACAAGAAAAAGTTATACTCCCCGGAACCTTGGAGCCAGCTGGCTCCTACAGTGCTCCCTCTAGTCTGTCTCATATGGTGCAGCAGTGGTATGTCCCTCTGGGCCCTCACATTCTGTAAACTGTGTATAGAATGTGATTACTCAGGGACCTTAGACAGCTGCAGCAGAGGGGGAGATATGCTGGGAGGACCGGTCTAAGAGCAAGCTCCAAGCAAGCCAAGGATTGGGTGAGTATACCTTTTTTGCACCTAGAACAAAACAAGTACTTAACCCTTGAAGTGCAGAGGTAGCCCAACTGCGAGGCTTAAGACAAAGTTTCCCTGAACTTCTTCTTTAACACAGGAATTCATACCAAGGGCCCATCTATCAGGAGCGAGAATGCATCACATGGACTCTATTTCCTCTAATGGATGTAACACCATCCATTAGAGGAAAGAGAATTCTAATGTACCCTTTTGGATTTCTGAGACAAGACAAAGGTACAGAGAGGGCAAAGAAACAGATTAGAGCCAGTTAAAGGCAAACAGATGACAGGAAAAAGACCATTAAAGTATGCCGACCGACAGTATAGCGCAGAGGAAGTGCATAAAAAACCCACAAGATAGGAAATAGCCATATTTATTATGCTTTAGGTTGTATTAAGGTACATTAGAGCATGATGACTTAGGGGACTTAACTTGTAGGGTCTAGAAATCTCTCATATTTGTTGAAAACAAACATAAATATTTACAGCATGTAGTTGACAGTAGGAAACAAAAGCTTCTAGAGTTTGTTTTCCATGAAGGTTAAAAAAGTAGTCCATGTATCTTGGGAGATTTACATGAAAAAGTAGAAATTATTAATTCCCATCTATGATGATGTGTTTTAAATTGCAGTGATAACTGTAGGAATTGGTGCATAAAATGTTATGTCTACCTCTGGGGAAACCCCTCCATCTGATAAAAATATATGTTGTTGTAGTTAATTATTTTGTTATCATATTCTACAATAAAATCTGCAATAGATTGATTAAAAAATATAAAGCCTTTGAGATTATTTGCTAGTTTGTATTTATAGATTATATTGGTACAATTCTAACAATGTCATGAAAATATATTTGGATCATTTGTCATACTCATTATTTGCTCAGGGCATGTTATGTTAGGAGACAACTTGAAAGAAAGGAAAAATTAAATATTTATATGCAGGCACATGCAGCTATTGCATACAACTACATCCACAACTAATACACAGGGGATTATACAGCATAATAGCAATAATCCATTAAACTGTCATTGGCTATGACAGTACTGGAGAAGAGAGCAAACCATGACGCTGTGAGGTGACTTACTAACGGGATTAAATTATTTTCCATTCCTGCAAAGCTAAATTCATCTTCTACACCCAGTTAGATTTAAGGCTAATCAACCTTTGTGAATTTTAGTTGCACTGCCTGAATGATCGAAAAATTATATTTGATTGATGCCTAGACACTAGAACAGTATGATCCTACATTACTTTGTGGATTTCTGATTAATTACACATGACTATCATGATGTGCACATGTATGCTTTTTATTGTTGAACTATATGACACTATAACTTATACCATACAGTCTCAGTTAATCAGCGTTTAGCGACTGATTTCAGAATTCTATTTTACTGAACATTAACATGGTATTTTTATATGTATGTTTTTGATTATTTATTTTTTGCCTTATTACATTTTAGTCTTTGGACATTATTCACATAGGAGTGTAAAGGGGAGGGTTTTGAACTCTTTCCCTTTTCATTGACACCTGCAGAGGTTAAAAAATATTTAAAGGCAAAACTTTTTTTCATTTAGGATAGAGTAGGGAAGGGTTATTCTGGATAGAATAAAGAACTGCTGTCAGTTTTTTTTTTCCATCTGTGCCTCACTAGGGAGATTTCCTCTTTTTGTCTTGTAGACTCAACAGGAAGTCAGAAGATATCTTTCCAACGGGAGGTATATCCTCTCTTAGAGAGTTGTCATGGGAGTCAAGTGTCCCCATTGGAAGATTTCCCCCCTGTTCCTGTTCTATTGATAGTTAGAGAGAGCAAATCTTTCTAATGGGGACACAAACAGCAATTATAACCTGCAATTATATTCTGACAGTGGTTCTAAGCACTCACCACTCAATCCAATTCTAAAAAAAAAATGTTTATTTCTTTAGGTACATTGTAATTCCTGCTATTCGATATTGGCAAAAAGTAGCCAACTTTGGAATGGCCATTAAACCTAACAAAAGATAGTCACTGACCATCAATTATCTGAAAACTTGTTTTAACAAGTAAAATGCAAAAATGGAACGTATGCATTTAAATTCAAGGTAATTCTGTATTTTGTTTTAAAATATAATTTGATCCTATATGGTAGCACCTTTCATCATGATTTATTGATGAACAAACTAATTTGTGAATTGGATGACGCTGATTTGTCCAATTTGAAGATAATTGTGCAGTTTCTAAATCCAGATAAACAGCAATCAATGAATTGTATGATTATCTAGCAATTGAAAAAAAAAATATTTTCAGAAAGATAACATTCCCCCAATTCAGGTGTTCCTGATCCACAAATCCTACTCTTCTCTGTTGATAAGCCTGCTCATGCAAACGGTGGCTTTGGGATCTTCTTTTGCTTTTTGTTGGCAAACGCATTTGCTTGATATGTGGTTATTTAACATTTGCATGTGTATCTGGGTTTATTCGAAGAAACGGCCTAATGTTTAACATCCATCCCATCTGATCTTTTCTACTGTAGAAGTTCCAGTTTTCATTGAAATAGGTTAACTTGCCCATGTGACTGTAGCAAATACAAATGGTAAATCAGGAAACAGTTGAGAATAAGTAAATTCGTGGTTACTAATTTGTGTATCAGTTTCTTCCCCTGAAATTTTATTCTGTACTCTTACAAGTTACATGTTTGAAGGGTTTTTACTTGGAGTGAAAAAAACCGTAAACAACTTCTTCAATATGGAAGTTAGCTAAAGCTGCTTAATTTATATACACCTTAGCAGTACTGTACTGGTTTCTTTGGACTCTGGACACTGGACTCTGCTAAAGAAAGCTGACAAATAACAATCTCTCATCATATCTAAACCTTTAGTCAACAGAATATGGCTAAAACTGTAGTGTCAAATGAGACATAGATATTTGGAGCCAACCTTTTTTTGAAGTGATTGAGATTGAAAATGAAATAAGCAGATGGTCCATTTGGGTGCCTAGGGACTACATGCACATGACTGTGTAAATATAGGTTCTCATAACATGTGAACTGGAAATATTAACATTACTCGTTTACTGTGAATATAGACAGAAATGAGTTGCATAAAATGAAGGAAATATGTAGTGGGATGGCACAATTACTAAATGACATGTCTGAAGAATATTGCCATCAATGTTGAGACTACATTAGCCTACAATGTCTTCTTTCATGCACAAAGTCACTTTTCTTTTTAGATTTTCTGAGCCTGTATTGACATCTGGCTGCTTGTGTTATTAGGAATGAAAGATTATATTATTATTATTATTATTA